TCTACCCTCCCAGGACGGGGGGGAGGTTTGGATGGTCCTGGGATTGGGGTCTTACTTTCCAGGTAGGGTTCCTTGAAGTAGAGATCAGGGCCAGAGGGCAGGAAGCACTGGTTCTGGAATAGACGGTACAGGGTATCCATGGCATTTCCTTTGGGGGCTCTGAGGGTGGGGGGCACAGGGGTCGGGGAAGACCGCCTTCTCAGGGCCCACCTCACTTGGGGCTCAGCGATTGGCCCTCAGCTGTATTTAGTGAGAGACCAGAGTCAGTGGGGTTTGTCTCCTGAGGTGCAAGCAGGGACTTGGTGGGAGTGGAAACCAGGAGATGCCCGTCGAGGGCTCCCTGTGTGTGTCGGGAGGGAATCGGGGTCTGTGTTCTTAAGGCCCGAGGAGGGCATGGACTCGCACGCAGGCCCAAGGCAGGCCTGACGGGGGATGAAGGGTCAGAGGAGCTGGGCAGTCACACTCCAGGAGGGGTGAGGAGGCCTGAGCAAGGACGCTGAGGGAGCCAGGAGGCCAGTCCTCTACACCTGGTGACATCTTCTCCCTTCTCTCCTAGTCCATGACTTGCAGAGCTTCGGCCTCGACAATGTACGTACCCGCCGGAAGCCATGCAGGGCGGATGGGTGTGGGAGATGGTTGCTGCCTTCGTGTCTCCGTAGGGATGTCCTGGGATGGGGGAGCAGATAAAAATATACCATATTCTTTTTTTTTTTAATTTTATTTATTTATTTGACAGAGGGAGAGAGCACAAGCAGGGGGAGCGGCAGGCAGAGGGAGAGGGAGAAGCAGGCTCCCCGCGGAGCAGAGAGCCCGATGCAGGGCTTGATCCCAGAACCCTGGGATCATGACCTGAGCCGAAGGCAGATGCTTAAACGACTGAGCCACCCAGGCGCCCCCAAAATATACCATATTCTGCCAGGGGATCAGTCTGAGGGTCAAGAACTGAGGTTTGCACAGGCCAGAGATGGGGGATGGGGCTGGACAGGAGTGTCCTGGGCAGAGGGATCCTCCGGCAAAGTCAGGAGGGAGTGGAGCACTTCTCAGAACCCACAGCGGCCAGTGTGGAGGAGGAGGCTGGAGAGGTTGGCTTGGACTGGACCAGACCTCACAAGCCTCAGGCTGAGCAGCGGTTGGGTCTCCCTCCTGTGGGCGGTGGAGGCTATTGGCCCTTTAACCAGGGTCATGATGTAATCAGGTGTGCATGTTTTTAAAAATCCTCTCATGGCTGAGGTTAATAAAGCCTGGAACAGGGCGCCTGCGTGGCTCAGTTGGTTAAACGACTGCCTTCGGCTCGGGTCATGATCCCAGAGTCCCTGGATGGAGTCCCACATCGGGCTCCCTGCTCAGGGGGAGTCTGCTTCTCCCTCTGACTCTCTCTCCCCTCTCATGCTCTGTCTCTCTCTCTCAAATAAATAAGTAAAATCTTTAAAAAAAAAAATAATAAAGACTGGAACAGGACAGGAGTCAGAGCTGGGACATCTGGCGCCCCCCCCCCCCCCCCACCCACCCAGTCTGAGCTCCCCTTGCTTGAGACTTCCAGGCAGAGCTGACACCTGCCAACCTGTCCGTGCCCAGCCTTTACTTGCTTTGTGCTTGGATGCAGCCAGAACCTCAAACTAGAGGCCCAGGGGCTGTGGACTCTGTGAGAAAGGAGTTCCCTGGTGGGGTATGGGGAGGCCTGTGTTGGTCATGTTCTCCCAGGCAGGACCTCTCCCTCCCTCCCCCATCTCCACAGATCCCCTCCCCAGCATCCTGTCTGCTGCTGTCCCGAGGAACCTTTGATGGGGTGAGGCCTGGTGGGGCCTTGAGTGCTTGAGGCTCAGGTGCTGGTGTTGCTTGCAGATCAACATGACCCACTACATCCGGCACCTGTCATTCGGGGAGGACTACCCTGGCATTGTGAACCCCCTGGACCGCACCAACGTCACCGCACCCCAAGGTACCAGCCTGGGAGGTAGCCCCCGGCTGCCAAAGCCCTGCCCGGCACCCATGCCTGGTGCTCTTTTCTCGCTGCAGCCTCCATGATGTTTCAGTACTTCGTGAAGGTGGTACCCACAGTGTACATGAAGGTAGACGGGGAGGTGAGTCTGCAGGAGCTCAGGTATCAGAGTCCCTCTTGGTGCCAAGCACTTGAGTCCTGCTGACCTGGGAAGTGGGGTGCTGCTCTTATCCCCGTATGATGGATGACAACCCGGGGCGGGGGGTAGGTGATGTACCCTCACAGCCAGAGTGCCTGGTGCTCACTGTCCCCGGGGTCTGCCCTGGGCTGGGGGCTAACCCTTCCCGGGTCCCCTCCTCCCCTTTCTGCTATGGCCCGTGGAGCAGCATCTCGGCAGACAGGAAGTCAGGCCTGGCCTTGCCAGGAGCTCATGGTGCGACCTTGGCGAGGTGCTTCCCATCCCTGAACCCGCGCTGAGAGAATCCACCCCTTGTAGCCGGGATCGGGACCAGAAGCCGGGGTGGTGAGGCGGAGTGTGTGTCTGGGTGGCCCCCGGGCCTTGCGGTGTTCATTAGCAACCTGGGGCCTCGTTTTCTCTCCCACACAGTCCGGGCGCTCCGGACAAGGGCAGGAGCAGGTGTAGGGCTGACGGGGTTGGGAGCCAGGTCACAGCCTCGGCCCCGGCCCAGATTCCCTTCCTGTCCCAGGTGCTGAGGACAAATCAGTTCTCTGTGACCAGACACGAGAAGGTTGCAAATGGGCTGATGGGCGACCAGGGGCTTCCCGGAGTCTTCGTGCTGTATGAGCTGTCGCCCATGATGGTGAAGCTGACAGAGAAGCACAGGTGAGGGTGGCGGAAGGGAGGGGCCCGGGACTGCGGGGAGGAGGGGTGCCGGCTGACCCCCGCCCCGTCCCTCCACCAGGTCCTTCACGCACTTCCTGACGGGCGTGTGCGCCATCATCGGGGGCATGTTCACAGGTTAGAAGCCCCAGGGCATCTGTCTGGGGCTGGGGCGTGGTGGGGCATGTGAAGCCCAGGCTCCCTGCCAGAGTTCTAGTTGGGGAAGGAGGGGCACATCAATGGCCAAGGGCAGATGCTGGCCTAGCTGGTTAGGGGACAAGGCTCTGGGGTCCAGCCAAGGGCCCAGCGGGGCCAGTGCCAGCCCTTGTATCTCTCCCCAGTGGCTGGACTCATCGATTCACTCATCTACCACTCGGCTCGAGCCATCCAGAAGAAAATTGATCTCGGGAAGACAACGTAGTTGTCTCCTTCCCCCTCTGTTGTTCTCTTCTCCTCCTGTTTCTCTTTGGCCCTGTGGTCATTCCCAGCCTCTTCCCCACCCCACCCCCACTCAGCGCCGGTCTCAGTGCAGGTTGATAAATCTATTGATTGTGATAGTACTTGCTGGTCTCCATGTGCTTCTTGCGTCTGGCCAGAGCCTAGAAACAACCCCTCATCACAGCCACTTACTGAAGGCAGTCAGGACTGACAGATCGGGCCGTCTGGGAGCCCCATGTGGACATCCCCTGGCTAATAGGGCTTTATTCAAACCAGACAGCTGTCCATCCCCCAGCCCTGTCCTCAGTCCCTCTTCTGCGGTGGTCTTCAGGCCTTTTGGGTTCAGCACCAGGGCTAAGATGGACCTTTCTTTCCAGTATGAGCTTCCTGGAGCCACCATGGCCCTCAGGCTCATGATGGTCTGAGCCCAGGGGTACTAGCCCTGCGTGCAAGCTGGGGCTTGCCACCTCTTCCGGGGCCTCTCCCTGCCACCCTGGGCTCAGTCTACTGAGAGGGGTCCAACCAGGTCATGTGCAGTCTCCTAGGTGGAGGCAGAACTGGAAAATGGAGGGAGGGTAGCAGTGGCCATTCTGGAGCAGGGCTGGCGTCAGACCCCCAGCTCTGGAGCTCATCAGGGCTTCCCATCACAGCCCTTAATACGTGCACAGAGCTAGGCCCAGGACCCCACTGTGCGGCAGCCCAGGGAAGCAGGGACGTACAGCTGGTCAAGTTCATCTGATCGTTTCTCAGGGAGTGTCTGGGTGAGACAGCAGTAGGGAGAGAAGTAGGACAGGAAGCGAAGGAGGACGGTGAGAGCAAAATATCTAGAGGCAGAAAGACCTGAACTTGAGCTCTGATGGGAGCCCTCATGAGTTGAGTGACCTTGGCCGGGTCTCCTCTGTAAGTTGCAGATCAGGTTGCCAGTTATGGTGAGCCTTGTTTTTTTGGTCAGCCAGAAACCATTCCTACTTAAGAGTGTCCTGAATTTCCTCTAGGAACCTCCCTACCTTCTCAGCTTCTGTGTTAGGGAGGAGGTTTGATGTCCCACCCTAAGCTCCAGGGAGGCCCCAATCAGCATAGCCCACCCCCCACCCCACCCTCCCACCCCCAGTGACCCAGTGTGGGCCAGGCTCCTTCAGGACTAGGAAAGCTTTCTCCTGGATGTGAATGTGGGCAGATGTGAGGTTGGTGCTGCCATCCTGCAGTTCTGAGGGGGGACCCTGTCTACAAATGAGCTAGCCCCCAGAGGACAGCAGAGCTGAGCCCAGAGGCAGAGAACCAGTCCTAGTGACATCGTCTGAACCCTGTGACAAGCTGCCTGCTAAGCCCCGGGAATTGCAGCTATGCCGGCTCCCCAGAATCCCTTTTTGTTTAAGCCAGCTTGGGCTGGGATTTCTGTTTGCAACCAGAAGTGTGCTGATGTGCTTACTCTCAGCGTTGAAGAATAAACTAATGACGTACGCAAAGTGCTTGGCTGTCACAGAATGGATGGCAGAAGCCATAGCAGGTTAAGTGAAAGGGACCCAGTCATCGTCAGGAGCAGGCGCAACAGGTGGGCTGCCCAGAGGGCATGACAGCTCGGTGGCCAGGACTCCTCTAACTTGAACTTCCTGCCAGGTCCCGTTCTTCCTCGGGGCAGCCTCCCACACCCCTGGGTGACTCCCCAGCACCTGTCACCCAGGAACATCTCGGTTTTCCGCCCCCTGTATTACTACGTACAACCTATGTCCAGGCGTCAGAGGGGAGGCACGGTCCCAAGTTTATTCAAGGAAAGCAGTGAACTCAAACAGCTCGTGTTGGTGCGACGGACTCCCCAGGAGCGGGATTTGAGGGGCTGGGGTTCCGGGAAGAGGGTCCAGGGTCGGTTAGGGTCAGGGCCGGTGGAGGGGGTTGGAAGATGACCTGCCTGGTCTGGCCGGGCATGCTGTAGACAACCAGGAGGAGGAAGACGGTGCCCAGGGCCAGCAGCACTGGCGGCGCCTGGATGCGCCAGTACCGGCGCCAGATGAAGAGAAAGGCCTTCAGCGGGTTCACAAACCAGCTGAAGGACGTCTTCGGGCGGCTGCGGGGGGAGCGGGCGGAGAGGGGGTGTTGGAACGCCGAGGAAGCCCCTGGGCCGCCCCGGCTCGAGCCCCGTCTCCCGTGCCTCCCCCTCACTTGGGCTTGTCCAAGGGCTCGGGCTCCTTCCGCCCCTTCCCCACCGGCCGCTTCTCCGCCTCCTCTGCGGTCAGCAGCTCAAACTCCGCCTCCACCTTCCCCTAGAGAAAGGGGGAACAGAGGCGGCGCTCGTAGGTGGGCTCAGGCCCGGCCCCGCCCCCACCGTGAGGATGTGGACGGTGCCGCCGGGGTCTGTGAACGCCAAGTCCTCCGGCCGGCCCTTCCTCCTCTTCCTCCGCCTCTTCTTGCCCGCTGGAGCCTCCCGCTGCTCCCGGGGCTCAGCCTCTGGCTCCCGCAGCTTCACCACAGGCCACCAACCCCGCAAGCGGCGGCAGCGAAAGAGGTTGCACCTGGGCCCCGCCCCGTCGCAGGCCAACTGCACGGAGCAGAGCTCGGGGCCTCGCCCCCCGCCCCCCCCCAATGTCTGGCAGTTGCAGCTCCAGGGATCCTGCAAGTCCCCAGCTCCCGGGGTTAGGCGAGAGATCAAGGTCTGTCTGGGCCCCGGGGGAGGAGGCCCCACAGCAGGACTTTGCCTCGGGGCATCAGAAGCACAGCCCACGCGTCAGCAGCTTGTCAGAGCCTGGCCAAACGGCCAAGGATGGGACCAGAATGCCAAAGCAGGGACCATGGTGTCAGAGTCCAAAGTGACCTTGGATCGGGGACTTTGGGTGGGAATGGAGGTCACTGTGCTCTGGGCTAAGTTCAGTAATGAGGCCAGAAAGCCAAGATTAGTGACCTAGGGTCTGAAACCCGGGATTCAGGGCTAGGTTAGAGTAGGGAACCAAGGGCCAGAGGGGCAGGGGCAACGGGGGCAGAAATTGGGGCCTCGGGGGTGAGGCAGGAGGAAGGGCCAAGCTGTACCAAGAAAGGCGTTGGCGGAGATGCGGTCATAGTCCCAGACCTGCAGGACCAGCACCGCCGGCTGCCGGAACTCGGCCTCCTGCAGGGCGAAGGGTCCAGGCCTGCGGCAGACGCTCACCTCCTGCTCCATGGGCAGGTAGTCGAAGCCGAACACAAAGCGCCAGTTGAAATTCCCCTCCCCAGTCAGAGTTGAAGTGAACGTCTGTCTCCTGCTTGTCGTGCTCCAGGCCCTTCACCCAGCTGCAACCAGGGGAGAGGGGCAGGCAGAGCGCTGGGCCCGGGGCACAAGGACCCAACCCAGAACCCAGCTCACCCCCAGCTCCCGGCACCCATTGTGGGCCTAGGAGACAGGGCTCTGGCTCAGCCCAAGGCCGAAGCGCCTGTGATCTCACCTTAGTCCACAGCCATCTGCCCAGGTGGCCCGCAGGCTCACCTTTTCACATAGATGTCACTGGATAGCTCTCCAGTGAGTGGGTTCACATCATCCAAAACCACATCCTCCCTGTTCCAGATGATGACTCTGAGCTCATAGCTGGGGGATGTAGTGGAAGAGTTTTCAGACTCTTGAGGGGGTCCTGACAGGGGCTGCAGGAAGCAGGAAGGACCTAGGCCATGGCCATCACATTCACTGAGCACCTCCATGTGCCCAGCTGGGTGATCAGGATGTCTGTGGGACTTAAGAGGATCACCCCCAACACAGCAGATGGCACCAGGAATGGTCTGTTGACCAAAGCTGGTCTAACTAGTTTCTCCCATAAATTTGGAATCCGGAGCCTAAAAGGTTGAGTAACATCAGACACAGAGTTGGAGCCACCACCAGCCAGGGTGACATGCAAGCTGCAGTTCTAGGGTACAGGGGAGAGAAAGCCAGTCTGCAGTGACATGTGGGAGGGGGAGAGAGACAAAGTGGGGATGAGAGCGAGCAGTCCCTGAGGGGCAGGAGGGGCTCCAGCTTTCCTCTACTACCCCAAATAGCCCTGTCCTTGGCTGTCATGGGTCTTCCGGGATATCTCGTTTTCTCTTGCCCACCAGCAATTTCCCCTCATTTGTTGATAGCACCGTGATTTTCTGTTGATGAGCCCCTCCACCCCACCCCCACTGGCAGTCTGTGTGATTCTAGTGGGGAAGACCCACCTCACCCTGGCTCCAGAGGTGGCGACACCCCCTAGGACATCACCCAGGACTGGCCAATCAGCGTATCCCAGCCCCCCAACCACAAGGATTGGTTAAGCGATCAGCATTCGATGCAGGCTGCTCCGAGGAGAGTCAGCCCTGAGACTTTTGCTCTTGCTGGTAAAGACGTGTTTATTTTTCTGCTCAAGGAGTCTAGCTGGTAAGATGTAAGCCTGGCACTGTTAGCGGCAGCCACCCTGCCCCCAGACTGCAGAAGCCGCCCTGAGAGTGACAGCAAAGAAAGCAGAGCCCAGAGGGAAAAGTGACAGATTGCGGACAACATCTGAAGTACGAACCCCCTACGCACAGCTCCACTCCGACGAGCTCAAGTCCGAAGGGGGTTTATTGGTATTTAAGCTCTTTCGGTTACAAGTGACAGAGCCCCTCCTCACAATGGCTTATGAGAAGGAAGGGAAATTAGTGGCTCACCTAACTGAAAAGCCTGGGTCACCAGCCTGTGCCTGTCCCAGGGGAGGAGGGGTCAGAGCACTCACCTGATGGGCTGTCGAGGCTTGATGTCACCTGGGGGTGGGGCAGGCACATCGCGGGGGAAGGTATCAATCCACATGTGAAGGGATCCCTGGGAACACAGGACCAGGCTGAAGGGTCCCACTGAGGACCCAACCTCCCCTGATAGCCTTGTGGCTAGAGGCTGTGCCTTGTCCTGACGGAGGGAAGAGCTGGGGTCAAGAGGGCACAGTTGGGTAGATCCCGGGGTGGCGGGTAGGGGGTGCGGGCGAGAAATGAAGGTAGAGTCTGAAATGGGGGTTCCAGTGCTGAGGTTAAGGATCAGGCCCTGGAGTGGAAGGTTGAGGTCAAAAGTAAGATCTGGTGTTCCCAAGGTCCAGATCCTAGGGACCTGGGGTTGAGGTCAGATTGGGAGTGCCAGGTCTGAGCCTTGGTGGCCCAGGGGTGCAGGATCCTGCAGGGACAAAGTCAGGGGTGGAGGTATGGAGTCCAGGATGGGGGTCTAAGACTGGAGTGGGGATGCTGGGGACCAGGATCAGGAGCCAGAATCGGAAGTGGTCAGCAAAGGTCTTGGGGAAAGGGCATCATGAGGGCCCAGGGTCCAGGAGCAGGTGGGAGTCCTGGGGTTCTGGGGTTGGGTGCTGAGCCCTCCCTCACCTGCAGCAGCCCTGGGCTGCAGGGATGGTAGAGGGGCCAAGTTTTCATGTGCTCGGGCACCAGCTGGATCCCAAGCTCCGGCCTCTCTTGCCAGTGCCGCGGCACCGGCAGTGCCTGCGCCTCCTCGGGGACCTCCCTGGCCCCCCTGGAAGCCCCCCCACCCGCAACAAGAGGTGCGCAAGCTTGGCTTCTGTACAGTTCCCAACTCTCCTGCCTTCCTCCCCCACCCCTCAACGGAAGTGCATAGCTGAGGTAGCTGCTGTTTGGGACGAAGCCCATGGGCTGGGAGGGCAAGTCCACAAGGCACAGAAAGTGGGGAGATGCTTCTCTAACAACTTTTCCCAGTGAAAAGCCAGCAGTCGAGGGACAGTGGGATTGAAGGGGCCACGGCTTTGTGAAGACTCTTGTTTAGGGACAGACCACCAGCCATTTATGAGGCATGAGCTCAAGTCTGCAGCCATGTCTTGTCATTTGGGACCCCCTATGGGCCACCCTATGTTCTGGAAGCTTGATTAGCTATGCCTCTGAGAGGTCTGCTTTGACTCTTTGAGGATCATGCTCACCTACAAAAACCATTTTCTCCCCACCATCCAAGAACCTAGTCCTTACTCAGCCAAACTCCCTTCCTCTGCTTGCCAAAGGAGGCAGGCTCTTCTGGGGACACACTAGAGTAGGCCCCAGGGGCCCCCTGTACCTTGTTTAACCATCTTGCTCCCTTGGGGTTGTCCATCAGAGAGGGGCTGGTACCTGGGGGCAGGGTCTCAGGTGGTGTCGGAAAGACTTTGCTGCCCACCTTGACAGCCCCGGCTCAGTATTCAGGGCCGGAGAGGCCACAGCGTTGGCACAGCCCCGCCAGGATCTGCGAAGGGTGGAATGCGTCCCGCCAGGCATTGTACCCATCCCTGTGAGCAGAAAGAGAAAAATGCCTCAGTTGGGGTTAGCATATGGACACAGTTGGGCTCAGGGGCAGGGATGGGGACCCCTGAAGACACGGGATCCAGGAGGCAGATTAGTCCTCCCTTATGGTAACCATGAAAATCGAAGATGTATGCCACATGCTCCAATGGAGGAGATATTGGTGTTACCTCCAATTTTGCAGCTGAGGAAATGGAGGCTCAGAGAGATCAAGTGACTTATTATAAGACCCCAAATCCTAAGCCCAGGTCTTGACCCACTATGCTATATGGTCTTGGTCATGGGGAGGTCCCCTTCTATGAAATCAAAGGATCTGGACACACCAATGGGAATGTAAACTTGAATGTCATTGGTCAGACTCAGAATGGCTCCTGAGGGTCTGTAGGACTCACATGTCATACTCGGAGGCCAGCCCACAGTTCACCCTGTGGTGGCTATAGAATCGGTTTTCCAGGTCAGTGTGGGTCTCCCTGATGAGGTCATCAGAACCCACGAGGTCATAATCAAACACAGCCACAGTCAGCTCTGGCTCGGCAGGGAGAGAGATGCCGAGCTCCAGGACCCTGGCCAGGAGGGAGAATGGCTGAGGACACCCCCATGCCCTAGGAGGTGGTCTTGTGGGGGCAGGGGCTCCGGGGGTCTCAGCAGCCTCTGTCCATTCCCTCACCATCACCACGCCAGCTGCCTGAGTGGGAGCCCTGGGGCCCTGGGGTCAGATAGTAAAGGTGCTCCCATTCCCAAGCCCAGGGCCCAGCCTCACTCTCCAAAGACGGGATTCATCCCACATCGGGCTCCCTGCTCAGCAGGGAGTCTGCTTCTCCCTCTGACCCTCTTCCCTCTCGTGCTCTCTGTCTCTCATTCTCTCTCTCTCAAATAAATAAATAAAATCTTTAAAAAAAAAAAAAAAGACGGGATTCAGCTGCTTGGGGATGTAGTGTTCCTTGGTGCCCCACCACTCTCGGCCAGCACTTACCACCACGTAAGGGTCTGCCTTGCCGTTGGGGTCCGCAGGAGCCAGGTTGGTGACCTAAGGGGACAGGAATTGGGGCTGAGAGAATTGTCACGGTTGTAACCCAAGGTTACCCTTGCTGGACCAAATCTCAGAGTTAAGTGTAAGCAGCAAGTTACCAAGGAGAGATCTCCCACCGTGAGGAATTAACTGAGAGGTTCGACAACATGACTTTTATTTTCTTTTAAATTAATTATGAAGGGGCGCCTGGGTGGCTCAGTTGGTTAAGCGACTGCCTTCGGCTCAGGTCATGATCCTGGAGTCCCGGGATCGAGTCCCACATCGGGCTCCCTGCTCGGCAGGGGGTCTGCTTCTCCCTCTGACCCTCTTCCCTCTCGTGCTCTCTATCTCTCATTCTCTCTCAAATAAATAAATAAAATCTTAAAAAAAAATTAATTATGAAATGTTTAAGACCTACAAATAGGTATAATGAAAAATATAATGAAAGAGAAAATATGTGGCAAGATGTATAGGGCTTTAATATTCAAATCATAACTTTCTGTATTATTCACTTTTATTTTTTACAATGATAAAGATATTTTAACTAATATAAAAATAAATCAATGACCATGTGTGTGCCTGGCTTAATAAAGAAAACACTACCAACAAATGGAATCCCCTTACCTGATTTAATTCCCTTTTCATCCCTGAAGTAGCCAGAACCCTTTACTTGAGGTTTAGGACTCACACAAAAAAAATGAAATAGTTTTACTACATGTACACACATCCCTAAGCAATATATAGCACCATTTTGCATGTTTTTTAACTTTATGTATTACACTTACTTTTCTGGTTTGATAACTACATCATTTAATAAATACATAACAAATTACTGAAGTATAATTTATATACAGCAATATATTTTTAGTGTTTACACTCCTATCTGCAGTGGTATGAGCATTCCAGTTGCTCCAAATCTTTAGCAACACTTGGTATTGTCAGCCTTTTTTATTTTAACCATTCTAGTGTATGCAAAGTGGTAGCTCACTGTGGTTTAATTTGCATTTCTCTGATGACGAGGCATGTTGAGCACCTTTGCATGTGCTTACTCACCTTGTGTATGATAACTCACTGCCCAGGGCACCTTTCATATGGAAACCAACCAATCCAGAGCCCATGCTCTGAACCAACTCCTCCATCTGGCTCTTCTACTCCAGGAAGTAAGTTCCTCTGTCCTAATCACTCCAGAGTCAGGTACCAGACAAGAGACAGCGAGACAACCCCTGTACCCAAGAGCCTGCTGGAATTATTCACACTAACCAATCCTAAGTCGGCTTACCCTGCCTTGCCTTGCTTTTCCTGCAGAGACCACAACAGAGGCTCTGGCCCTTGCATTCTCCTTTGGACTTCCCTGTGTGGCCCTGTACTGCCCAGCCCACCCCCTCCTCTTGAGAACTGAAACAAACAACAGACTATCTTTCTTTTTTTTTTTAATATTTATTTGTCAGAGAGACAGTGAATGAGCACACAAGCAGGGGGAGTGGCATGCAGAGGGAGGAGGAGAAGCAGACTCCCTGCTGAGCAGGGAGCCCGATGCGGGACTCCATCCCAGGACCCTGGGATCATGACCCAAGCCCAAGGCAGACACCCAACCGACTGAGCCACCCAGGTGTCCCCAGACTATCTTTCAAAGGCAATCACCTCCTGATCTGTTGGCCTTGCCATACATGGATAATAACAAAATCCTGGATACATGATTTTAAAACAGTTCCTGCTTTTAATTTTTTTCCTCTAAAACCATGTATTTTCTTGGGAAGCTCAGCACTACATTTAAAGAGGTTTTTACATTTTCTCTAGTATTTTTAGCTTTCAGTGAGCAATGCAGGCTTTAACCCTTCAGGTGTGCCCTTCCCCTTTGAGACACAGACGCCACTGACACTGAGCTCCACTGAGTGATGTCCTCACCCCCTTCCTCTCTCACACACACACACAAACTTCAACCACGTGGCTCTTGATAGCTCTCCCAGGCTTCCTGCTGGTTTGCAGTTGTAATGCTCTCCTGATTGCACCATAAGCAGAAGCTGGATTTTTGTTGTTCCCTTTGGTTTGGGATGATTTTCAGGAAGAGAAAGAGGAAATGCCCTGTTGGTGCCAACTTCCACAAATTGGAAATCATCCAATTTGCTTACTTCACCCAAATTTAAGTTTTTATTTTAATTCCAGTTAGTTAATATACAACATTCTGTTAGTTTCAGGTGTACAAGTGATTCAACACTTCCATACATCACCTGGTGCTCATCACGACAAGTGCCCTCCTAATCCCCTTCACCTGTCTCACCCATTCCCCGCCCCCCTCGCCCACCGTAACCATCAGTTTGTTCTCTATAGTCGAGTCTGTTTGTTTCCCTTTGCTCATTTGTTTTGTTTCTTAAATTCCACATGAGTGAAATCATGGCATTTGTCTTTCTCTAACATATTTCACTTATACTCTCTAGCTCCACCCATGACTTCATCCTAATTTGTGTTGGGAGGGATGCCTGGGTGGCTCAGTCTGTTATACGTCTGCCTTCAGCTCAGGTCATGATCCCAGGGTCCTGGGATCGAGTCCCGCATGGGGGGGCGGTTCCCTGCTCGGCGGGGAGCCTGCTTCTCCCTCTGCCTACCACTCTCCCTGCTTGTGCTCACTCTCTGACAAAGTCTTCAAAAAAAACCCCACAAATTTATGTTGGGAGATTTATTTTTTGGGGGGGATTTATTCGTGTTGATACATGCTTCTGTACTTTGTTCAACTGAACTAGAGTATCTGTTGTATGGCTAACTCTCTCCCCTATTTAGGGACATGAACACTTTAGGTTATTCTAAAAAAAATTTTGTTACAGGGACACCTGGGTGGTTCAGTCAGTTAAGCATCTGCCTTTGGCTCAGGTCATGATCCCAGAATTCTGGGATCGAGCCCCGCGTCGGGCTCCCTGCTCAGTGGAGAGTCTGCTTCTTCCTCTGCCCCTCCCCCTGCTCATGCTGTATGTGTATCTCTCTCTCAAATAAATAAAGAAAATCTTTTAAAAACATTTTTTTTGTTACAAATAATGCTAGGATGAGCAATTTTTATGTTTCCTTGTACACATATGTAAGAATTTGCCTGGGATCATATCTAGAAGTATAATTATTAGGTATTGACAATGAAAATCTTCCATTTTCCTAAATATGTCAAAATGTTCTCTCAAGCTGTTACAGCAATTTACATTCTGTGGCAGGCAGAATAGTGCGTCCCCACCACAAGGATGTCCACCTTCAAATCCCCTGACACGGCAATGGGAACTCTGCAGATGTGGTTAAGAATCATGAGATTGGGGCGCCTGGGTGGCCCAGTCGTTAAGCGTCTGCCTTCGGCTCAGGTCATGATCCCAGGGTCCTGGGATTGAGTCCCACATCGGGCTCCCTGCTCAGCGGGAAGCCTGCTTCTCCCTCTCCCACTCCCCCTGCTTGTGTTCCTGCTCTCACTGTCTCTCTCTGTCAAATAAATAAATAAAATCTTAAAAAAAAAAAAAAAAAGAATCACAAGATTGACATTCCGTTCTCAACCAAAGCTTCTCTTTAAGTAGTTTATTATGAAAAACTGTCACTAACTTAAAGGAAAGGGTGGGGAGATAGTCTGCTAAACAAGTAAATAGAAATACTGAATGTGAAAAAAAAAGAATCATGAGATTATTCTAGTTTATCCAGGTAACCCAATGTAACCACAAATGTCCTTATAAGTGGAGGGGAGACAGGAGAGTCCAAGAGAGATCTGAAAGTGCTACCCTACTGGCTCTGAAGATGGAAGAAGAGGCCATGAGCCAAGATACAGAGGCAGCCCCCAGGAACTCGAAAAGGCAAGGGAATGATTCTCCCCAAAAGTCTCTAGAAGGAATGCAGCCCTGCCAACAACTCTATATAGTCCAGTAGAACCTATTTCGGATTTCTGCCCTTCAGAACTATAAGATAATACATTTCTTGGGGAAGACATTGTTTTCTATTTCCCCCAGTTGGAGCAGAAGCTGAAACAGACCATTTCCCTAAAAGGTTCCCTTCCCAGTGGGTAGACTTCCTCTGGCCCACCTTTCACTAAGACCAGAGCCCTTCCTGGGCGCTGCTTCACGCAAGGGTCTTGGTTGTGGCTCCCATCTTCAATAGATTATTAGGACCCAAGGCTCGGGGTCCAGGTGTAAACAAACCTCTCAAGACAACCTGCACTTCAGGGACTGGGATTCCTGCTGCCTCTTCATCCTATGCCCATTGGGAATTCTTATTTTTCCATTCCATTGCCCGTTCTTATAAGCTTAGCATTCATTTAAGATTGTTTATCCAGCAGTTCTAGATGTATTACATCGGGAAGTTATTTCAGACCATCTAGTCTGTGATACTGCTAGAAGCAGAAGATCAAATGACTCCTACCATCAAATTATGCACTAGGATATGCCACAGAACATTTCTTTAATTTCTGTCTTACTCAGAATCCTTATATTTAAACCAGATAAAAGCACAGTATCTATTCTGGGGCTGGGATCGAAGGGAACAGAGCAACCCACTCATTCCTCTCAATTCCCTGAGATGCCTTTCAGGAAACTTCAGGGCCCTGCTGAGTGCTGTATGCAAACCACAGCAAGGCAAGGATCTGTGTGAAGGTACTGAACGACAAGCAATTGTGAAATTTGAGATTCAGAGCTGCACTCTTCTTGGCGTTATACTCACCAAGCTACGAACTGAGGGTCTAGAACTATGAAAAAGGAGTCAGAAGACCTAAGCTCTAAATCCGGGTTGTGCCGTGAGCAAGCTCTGTAACCCTGGGGAGTCTCTTCACTTGTGCCTAAGATTCTCCACCTGAAAAATGAAGGAGGTAGATTCTGAGGTTCCTTCCAAATCCTTCAGTCTGTAGCTTTTATGTATATTACCTTTGCTGGAGTCAGAGGTGGGCTGGGGTGATGGATGCTCACCTTTACCACATATACTCTGACCAGGAGCTTGATGGGCAGGTTCTGTGGGACTCCCCGGGAGATCTGGGGCTCAGAGAATGACACTGCCTCTGATTCAGGGTAAATAAGGAAGGATCCCTGGATTTCGGGGAGACAGAAAAATCCCTGGGAAGAGAGTCTTCCTCCTACATCCCCACCTGTACTCCTTGCCTCTCTTCTTTCCCCCAAACATACCTTGAACTTGCCTACAGGATGTCCAGACGCTTCTTCTTCTCCAACTCCATCCTGGCCCCCTTGCCCTCGGTACAGGGGAAACACATTCAACCAGTCTTCAAAGTGGTTAAACTCTTCCTCCAGGGTGCCATTGTAGATCTGAAAGGCAAGGGCCTCAGTGACAGGCCGATGGCCAGAATCCTAACACAATTCTCTCTCCCAGACACCCACTCACCTTCAGGGTGGCGATTGCTTTCTTCTGGGGTACGGAGCCTTTGACTTCAGCCTCATCCTGACCCTGGTCTTGGGCCTCCCCATCCACAGAAATGAGGTTGACCCCATCTGGGAATAGCAGAAATGCCACAATTAAAAATACTGGTGTCAGAGGAAGGAGGGAGACAGACAGAGCAGGAGCAAGAAAGCCAAATCTCCTACCTGACTGCCTGGGATCATCCATTTCATCCTCCTAAGTTGGTCTGAAATCAAAGGGCAAGTCAGAGATTCTTCCCTTCCCCTCACCTCCTTAATCAATCCCTTTTCTAGGACAGGGAGTTGGGAAACTTCAGTTCAAGGTCCAGCTGTGTGAACCACTTGCATTTTCAAAGCTTAAGTTTGTCTAGTCCTGCGCTGCCCCAGACAGTAACCCCCAGGTACGTGTGTCTAATGAGCACTTGAACTGAGTGTAAAATATACACCAGATTTTAAAGACTTAGTATAAAATAAGAATGTCAAATATCTCATTATTAATTTTGTATAATGGTTCCTTGTTGAAATGGTATTTTAGATATGTTAGGTTAAACAAAATACATTATTAAGATCAATTTTACCTCTTTCCTTTTACTTCTTTTAAAATTTGTCTACCTAAGAAGTTAAAATGACATATGTGGCTCACATATTTCTGGGAGCACAGCTGTAGATAATAGAGTTAGTAATTCTCAGCTTCTAGAACTTTTATGAAGATGAGAAGAGGTATCTAATGAAGAGCTCTGAAAAGCTGTGGAGAATCTCACGCCACATTTCATGAGATCCTTCTTCTTGCCATTTATCCTCCTCCACCTCCAGCTGCAGCCCAGGACCCGCCCCTGCCCCCACCTGCCCCTGGAGTTCCTGCAGTGAGGCCACCAGTCAAGCTCTTCAGGATCTGGGATGTCCTCCTCCAGCTCAGGGCCTTGGTTCAGGAGGCTCCCCAGGGGGAGCTTCTTCAGAGAAGCCTAAGGGAGAGAGAACTCAGTGCTCCTAACCCAGCACCACCCTAAGCCCCGCCAGCCCCTTCTCCACCCATCTCCCATACCCCATCACCTTCAGAAGCCATCTGGGCATCCCCACTTCAGCCAAGAAAGGATCTAGGGATTTCTGTCCTGGGAGAGGGGAAATGATACCAGGAGGAGGTCACGTGAGTAGAAGTCAGACTCCCTGGAGCCATCTCAACCAGAAACCAGAGGGGATTCTGTCTGGTGGCCCCTTACCTTGTGGTCCCTTGAGCACTAGATCCCCTGTCTCCTCCTCTTCTCCTTCCTCCTCGGGGGGATCCTCATGACCCTGGAGTATGAATTGCAGCATGTGGGAGACAATATGGGAACCGACAAGCACGGTGCGGCCAAAGGCCCGGCGCTCAATCACCAGGATGCTGAGGGGGCGCTGCAGGTAAGGCTGCTCGGGCAAGTCCTGGGGTGGGGAGAGAGGAACTGGGTCTCTGAAGGCCTGGAGAGGAGGAGAGGCAGCAGCAGGGTGGGACAGAAAACAATGGAGCTAAATCTGCCTTCTCAGCACAGCTCTGCCACAGCCTCATCGTGTCATATCTGGTAATGACGGAGCCTGTTTTCCTGGCAAACAAGGGACACAATCCTGGACTCAAAAGACTGTTGTAAATATCAAATGACATAATAGATATAAAACTACTTTGGAGCCTACAAAGCGCTATCAGAAACATGTGGTGGTGGTGGTTGCTATTATATAAAGGACCAATGTTTAGTTTGCTAATATAGATTTAGAGCCATAAAAATGTGTATGTCCTTTATTTTTTTTAAGATTTTTTATTATTATTTATTTGAGAGAGAGAGAACACGAGGGGGGGAGGTCAGAGGGAGAAGCAGACTCCCCACTGAGCAGGGAGCCCGATGTGGGACTTGGTGCTGGGACTCCAGGATCATGACCTGAGCCAAAGGCAGTCACTTAACCAAGTGATCCACCCAGGCGTCCTGTGTATGTCCTTTAATACAGGAATTCTATATCTATCAGTGGATCCTAAGGGGGAGGGACAATAATTAAAATACTGTATTGTTAGGTTTATTTTATATATGTGTGACAATTATCTCACAAAGGAGGAAGGTAAGAATGGTGCTATGATGGAGAAAAGTTTTACTGGAATGAAAGTAGTATTAATCTGAAGTAGACTGTGAAAAATCAGTCTGTATACTGCAATCCCTAGAGTAACTACTAAGTGAAAATCAACAAAGGAATTAAAGCAGTACGCTAATAAATATCTATTTAATACAAAAGAAGGTGGTAAAGGAGGAACAAAAATATATATGAGACACATAGAAAACAAACAGCAAAATGGCAGATGTAAATCCAACCATGTCAATAATAACATCAAATGTGACTTTGATGTGAAAACAAAGGCTAAAGAAATGTAGAAAAAAATGAAGTTTCCTTTGCAGCCCATTAACAAGTACTTAAGACAGGCAGAGTGACCTTCCTCCACACTCAACTAACTGCCTGGTTGCTAATCCTTTGCGAGAGGCAAAAGGCAACCCTAGCCTGACATTAGCCTGACCTCCAGGATCCTGTAAATCTTCTTTAACATATAAAAATCCCTTGGGAAACTTCCTTTATCTCTACCTCCCAAGATATATCTTAGCCATCATCCTCCAAGCATACAGCCCACTGATCTACACCTGAAGGATCTCATGACTGAAGTTTTTTGGGGTTTTTTTGAGATTTTTTTTTTTTTTGACAGAGAGAGACAGCGAGAGAGGGAACAGAAGCAGGGGGAGTGGGAGAGGGAGAAGCAGGCTTCCCGCCGAGCAGGGAGCCTGACGTGGGGCTGGATCCCAGGACCCTGGGACCATGACCTGAGCTGAAGGCAGACGCTTAACCAACTGAGCCACCCAGGCGCCCCATGACGGAAGTTGTTATTAAACAGTAATAAATGCCCTTTTCCTAACAACTAGACCTTCAAATCCTGGAAACCTTGCTTCCAAATTCCTTCGAGATTTATGCTATCCCTAACCCCCTCCCAACTTGAAATTCTATAATGGGGGCACCTGGGTGGCTCAGTCGTTAAGCGTCTGCCTTCAACTTCAGTCATGATCCCAAGGTCCTGGGATCGAGCCCTACATTGGGCTCCCTGCTCAGCGGGAGGCCCGCCTCTCCCTCTCCCACTCCCCCTGCTTGTATTCCCTCTCTCGCTTTCTCTCTGTCAAATAAATAAATAAAATCTTTATTAAAAAAAAAAAAAAGATGCAACTACTGGAACACCTGGGTAGCCCAGCCAGTTAAGTATCTGACTCTTGATTTCATTTTGGCTCAGGTCATGATCTCAGGGTCGTGGGATCAAGCCCAACATCAGACTCCATGCTCAGTGCTGAGTCTGCTTGAGATTCTCTCTCTCCCTCTGCCTGCGATGCTTTCTCTCTCTCAAATAAATAAATCTTCAAAAAAAAGATGCAACTACCTAATATCTAAGAGACACTCTTTAGAAAGACACATAATATAGGTTGAAAGGAAAAGAATGAGGAAAGATACATGTGAAAGATATGCAAACAGTAACCATAGCGAGCTGGAGTGGCCATACTATCAGGCAAAATAGACTTTAAGACACAAAATTTACTAGAGGCAAAAAGGGACATTTTATAATGATAAACATCAATTCATAGGAAGCTATAACAATTGTAAGCATATATGCACCTAACAACAGAACCTCAAAATATAAGAAGTAAACTGCAACAAAATTAAAGGGAGGGAAAACAATTTAACAATAATAGTTGGAGATTTCAATAGCATATTCTCAACAATGGATGGAACTAGTCAGAAAATCCCCAGGAAGGCTTTCTTTAAGGCTTACATGATGTTATCAACCCAGCTTGACCTGACATCCATAGAGCATTCTACCCAACATCGGAAGAATGCTCAGGCATTCTTTTCAAGTGCACAACGGAGAGAGGGATATTCCTCACTTTGCATAGATGAGATGGGAAATGAAAGGAAACACTCCCTAGAAGTTCAGTGAGCAAACTGCTTTCAGCTTCACCCTCTTACAAGCACAATCAAGTTTTCAAACTGAAAACTCCTGCATGTGAAACAGAGTCAAGAAACTGTTAAGGTTTTTGTTGTTTTTGTTCTTTGTTTGTTCTTGTGGGGTTTTACCCCCTTGCAGTCTGGAACCACTACACTTTGTCCCTGCTCCCCCCTCACCCAGGCACAGCACTCTTCAGTTTACAAACCCTTTCACCAAGATACTTTCCCTCACTGGCTCCTCATAGCACTCCTGTAAGGAGGCATTTGGTGTATCATCTTCAATCTTTTTTTCTTTTGTACCTGTTACTCCTTTAAACAAACAAACACTAAAGCTCAACTAAGACAAGTGATCTGACAAGCTCCTAAGCGGCATTCTCAGAATTTGAGTCCAAAGTCCATACTATAAGAATTACAAAATACACAAAGGATGCATCTTTCTTCTTAGCCCCTGGTGTCTCAGAGACTAGATAGATTCCTTTTGACCTAGACTTCACGACACTTACCTAACCCACTCATTCAACAGAGCCAAGAGAGCACCACCAGTTCATGGATTAATCCAGAGATTAGCAAACTATAGCCTGCAAGCCAAATCTGGCCCACTGCCTGTTTTTGTAAATAAAGTTTTTTTGGAACACAGTCATACTTATTCATTTACTTGCTGTCTATGTCTGTTTTCATGCTACTAAGTCAGAGGTCAGTAATTGCAACTGAGACTATATGGCCTAAAATATTTACTATCTGGCTTTTTATAGAAAGTTTGTTGATCCCTTGATTAATCTAAGATAACTGGCTGGGAATTCACCAACCCACTGCCCTTTCACTTCTTAGTCCAGCATTTCCTGCTCCCAGCCCACTTCCTCACCACTGTCAGATGCCTGACGAGTTCAGTGAAATTGGGGTTCTCATGGTAATTGGCCAGGACCTCTGACTCCACACATCGCCCAGCCACCTCCAGCACAATCTGGGGCTGCTCCACCTCGAACAGATGCACACGGCCAAGGCCTCTCAGACCCCAGAACAGCACCTGGGGTCAGGAAGTGAGAAATTCAGTGGCCTGCATCTGACAGAGGGCACCCAGATGTGCGTGTGGTGGGGGTGGGGGGGATGTGAGTGTGCCCGGCAATACCTCAACACAGAACTCCCTGAGCGCTGGACGCACATCAGGTGGCAGGGACAGGCGTCCGGAGAGGTGCTCAACCAGTTGTGTCAGGTCCTGGGGCTCTACATCACTGGGCACTGAGGGCTGCAGGGGGCAAGAGATCAGAGATCAAGGAGGAAGCAGGCTAAAGGAGGGAGATCTGGGCTTAGGGAGGGGACATTGAGAGCTGCCAGTGAAATCTCAAGCCAGAGGAACTGGGCAAGGCTGGATGGGCAGGAAGGGAGCATCCCAAGAAACAGCCAGGTACAGGAAGGGAGGGTGGGCATCTGAGGCACGAGGATCCACCTGCAGTCTCGGGTCTCTAGGGCTGGAAGTCTGGCAAGGTGAACCTACAGTGTGTCTGCTTCTAATGTTCCCTGAAGTCAGGGGGTCCAGTGAGTGACCCCAGGACAGATCTGCAGCCTGCATTCTCTGGGGGCAAAGTACTTGGAGGAGTAACCCCAGGATATGTTCCATAATCTCTGGAGCTGGACCACCTGAAAGAATAATAAGAGGAGTCCACAGCCTGTGCCGGCTAAGCCAGGGTACCCTGACCTCGAGCCGGCCGCTGTAGTCCAGTTCAATGAGTTCAAAGGTGGCAATAAGCTCTCTGGCTGCCCTGGGCCCCTTCCTTAGGGGGAAGAACTGCAGCTCAGGGCGTTGGTAAGGGTCCTCCATCAGCTTTACCCTTGGGGCAGCCAGTGCCCTGCCCAGGAACACAGGGGGGCCCTGTGGAGAGCAGGGCAGTGAAGACAAAAGTAGAAGATGCTCAGGAGCAAGGGGAGGGGGGCATCAAGATGAGAAGTGGGGGCGCTCAGGGGTGGAAACACAGGTAGGGCCCAGGCCACACTCATAAACTTATTGTGGTCAAAGACATTGACGACCACTAATGGAGGCTCCTCCTGCAGATGCTCCCTCCTCCCGTCTATGATCAACTGATCAAACACCAAGAGCTCAACCCACAGGGGGCTCAGCGTCTGCTCCAGGACCTTGGGGGCCATGCAGAGAGGGAGTCAAAGGCAGGCATCCAAAGAATCTCCCAACATACAACCCAGGTGAGCATTTTTGCCCTAAAGTAATACTTTAAGCAGCTGTTTGGCTGTTTATCACAAAAGGAGGGAGAGTGTGATAAAGATGAGAGTGCCCTTCAGACTGGGGTTAGAGCCTGCCCTCCCAGCCTGGTCCCCCTAACTGTAATCTGCCGCCCTTGGGGCTAGTCCTACAGTCAACCCCAGAAAACAATTCCTCACCCTGAAGGCCCTCCAGTTTTATACGACCCGCTAAATCAGGGCAGTCCAAACCAGTATCCTGTCCTGAAAATCCAGGGCAGGAAGACAGACTTAGGGCCTGAGGAAATGCTCAGCCTTTACCCCACATTGTCTCCCAGAGCCCCCCCCCAACCCACATCCCAGTTCAGCCCTCACCCGTGTGGTCTGGCACTGGGTAGAGATGAGGACTCGAGCAAAGGGGTCTGAAAGCCCACTGTCATCTGCTGCCAACACCCCTCGGGCCTGGTACAAGTGAGCTCGGGGCTGGAAGTAGCTGAAGTCTGGGGTGGGGAAAAGACAAAGATGTTTGCTCAGGGGACCACTCGAGTCCCTGACCCCAAGGCCCCTACCCCTGCCCCCAGCTGGGCTTCTAGCCTCACACCTCGGGCAAATATCAAGCTGGGCCCTATACTCACCATCCCAGCACAGGTGGTGTGGCAGCCCCTCGGAGGGCTTGGGCAGCAGGTCCCAGGGGAGCTCTGAGGTGCAGGCCTTGGGTTGCTTACCCAGCCCCAGCCACAGAAAGAGTCCAGCTTGGCACAGACCTCACCAGAAGCTGCCCCAGGTGCCTATTGTAGGGAGGTGGCATGATAGCATCTGCCTCTTATTAGCCCAGCTAGACCAGCCCCTGCTCCCCCAGGGCATGCCCACACTCTCTGTATTGATAGATCATTCCGATGCCAAATCCAAAGAGTACTCCCTGTACCCTACCCTTTCATCCCACTTCCTGCCCTCCATCCAGTACCCCCTTACCCTGAACACTCCCATTCCCTAGTCTTCCTGTCCCAACACTGTTACTTCCTGTACCAAACCCCACACCCCCAAACTGTGCCCTCCCACACCCCACACTTACCTCCTCAGTCTCCTCCGTCCCAACACATTTAGATTCCCTGTCTCCTACCCCAACAACCACAGCTCCTCAGCACTCGGGACCCCTGTTGGCATCTATTCCGGGGACACCTCACTTAGAAATATTTTGCCCCAAACCAGCTGTACTTATAAGGAACTGACTAGTCACTCTCCCATCTTTACTACCTGCCCGTCTGTCAGAGCCCAGGCAGCCAAAGGGCCAATGTAGGCCCAGAGCTCTCAAAACTTGGTGTTTATCTCACATCAAAGGGGACCTAGGTAAAGGCACAACCTCTTTTGGCTTTTGGGATAACTGAAAAGGTATACTTTTAAAACTTAAAACACTTTTTAACTTTAAAAAAATTTCTTTTAAAAATAAAGATTTTTCATTAAAAAAAGACTTTGGGGACTCCTTGTTGGGAACCACAGGTCTCTACCCTGTGCCCCTCACCCCACTCCAGTTTCCAGCAACCCCACACCTCCTCACTGTGAGCAGTAGACTCTGGATCTTCCCACAGTCCCAGCCCCGTTCCTCCTCGACCACAGAGAACAGCACATCCTGGGCAGGGATCCGGGCTCAGGCCACACGGCGCCGCCCACTGAGCATCCAGACCAGCACACCTGGGAGGGGTGGCTGGGGCTGCGGGCAGAGAATGGGGTTGCAGATAGAGCTGAGACCACCTGCTCCCACAGCTTCCACTGGGCAGATGGACAAAATACCCAACATAGCCCTGATACAGACCCATAAACCCCAGATCCATGTGGCCATCTGCCTCCTACACATCTCTCCCCTGGATGCCCCACAGGCAACCTCAAAGTCCAACCTGACTTCTTTGTGTGTGTGTGTGTGATAAAATACGGGTAGCATAAAATTTACCACTGCAACCATTTTTAAGTGTACAGCTCAGTAGTAACTGTGCATCAATCACTGTTGGGCAATCATCACCACCAGGGTATTCAGGGTAGGGAAATGGTGGCCCGGTGTTACCTCCTGGGCCAGGAAGCACAGTTTTGCCAAGAGCTTTTTGGCCAGTGCCACCTTCTCTTGCACATTGCCCTGTCTCAGACCCCGTAGAAGCCGCAGTCCTTGCTTTGCCAACAGGTTCTGGAAGGGCAGGAAGAAAACATGAGTGGAGGGCCCCAGTTAGGTGTCCCCGGTCCCCCTTCCCCAGACCGTACCAGGCTATGCACCAGCAGTTTCCCTCGGCAACAATCCAGAGCGTTGGGCCGGGTCATTGTCCTGTGCTCAGCACTGTGACAGAACTGTCTGCAGCGAGCAGGGGCAGGCATGGCAGGTGGGAGTCAAAGGAGGGAACGCTGACCCTTGGGGGCCACCTCCCTCAGAGCGGGCCTCCCACCTGCAGACTTCCTCACAGCCCCTCTCTCTCACATTCCTAAGCCAACCATGGCTTCTGTATGTGGACCACTCCCAAATTCAGAGGCCAGCCTCCCCTTAGAGCCCCAGAATGCACTAGTATGTAACTATCTACTGCCTGGCTACTCAAGGCTGGCCCAGGACCAACAGCATTAGTACCACCTAGTTAGAAACACAGCACCAGCCCCACACCAGACCTGCTGCTAGAACCTGCATGCTGATTCCCTGGCGGATTCCAACGCACACTAAAGGCTCAGATGGGCTGTGCCTGACAGTCCCCAAATTGACCAGAGGTAGCTCAAACCAAGTGCACGATTTCCAATTACCCCCAACCCCCCAAAAAACCCTGCTTTACTTCAAAACTTCAGAGAAACCCTTCACTGCTCTTTCACTCACATTCCACATCGATCCATTGGCATATTATTTAGGCTCTACCTTCAAAATATGTTCAGCATCTGACCACTTGTCTCCTTTCCTAGCACCGCCCGAGTCCAAGCCACCATCATTTCCCACCTAGGACTACTGCAACAGCCTCCTAGATGCTCTTACCATGTCTGCTGTCTACTCTTCCCCCACTTCCCCCAAATAGTCTCAATACAGCATCCAGAGTGATCTTGTCAACACTTTTCCAGACTATTTCACTCCTCTCCAGAGGTTTCTCATCTCAGAGTAAACAACAGAATTCTTCAAAAGGCCCTACATGATCAGGCTCCCTTGATCTCCCTGTCCTCATCAAATATTACTCTCCCCTCATGCACAACCCAACCGTCACACGGGCTGTTCTGCTCCTCCAGGAATACACCCAGCCCATCACCACCTCCAGGCCTTTGTATTAGCTGCTCCCTCTGCTAGAATGTTTGGCCCCTGGATCTTTGCATGGCTCACTTCCCATCTCCATTCAGGCCTCTCTTCAAATGTTACCTCCTCTCAGACTGTTCCTGATCATCCCATCTAAACAGCCCCAGCCACTTTCTCTATCCTCATAGTCTGCTTTATTTGTCTCTCCAAAAAAAGGTAATAGAAAGTCCCTAGGGCAGGGACTTCATTCTGATTACCACTGTACCCTCAGGCCCTGGCACCTAATCGATGCTGAAAAAATATTTGCTGGGTAAAGTAAAATGATTTTTTTAAAGATTTTATTTATTTATTTGAGAGGGAGAGAGCACAAGTAGAGGGGAGGGGCAGAGGGAGAGGGAGAAACTGACTCCCTGTGGAGCAGGGAACCCAATATGGGGCTCGATCCCAGGACCCCGGGATCATGACCTGAGCCAAAGGCAGACACTTAATGGACTGAGCCACCCAGGCACCCCAAATGATTTTTGAGACATAATATTTTGGGCCCTTTATGACCCATGATGATTTCTTAAGTTTTTATTATGGAAATTTTCAAAAATATATAAAATAAATAACTCCAAGGATTTTTCACCTAACGCTGCTCCCAGAGCTTACACTTTTAGCTTACTAATGCTCTTTGCTCCCAAGACTTCCATTGGTAGAAATAATCAACAAAATAAATCTTGAGTCAAATCTTCTTGATAAGATTTAGATCCATAAGATTGGATTCACGGAAACTGGATCTGATAGAAATAATAGCCACAAAAGAAAACCACACTGGCCAAAGCTATAAATAGTGAAATATGATATGGACAAATCTTTCATTGAAATTTCCTTGCCAAAGAATAACTTCAGTAAAAAAATAATTTTAGTAAAGTGAAAATAGAAACAGTGTAATCGCACTGTATAGAAATCAAGCAAGGAATTAAATTGGATTAAGGGTGGTCACTCTTTGGGAGATGTAGAGAATGTAGACAGAGAAAAGATACAGTGAAGCCCTGGGACATAATCGCACAAACATTTGCAATATGTACAGTACAAGAAGAGAGAGGGAGCCAGCAAAAGAGAAGGAATGGCAAGGGAAGCAGAAGAAAAACCAGGGACATGGAAGCCAACAGCAGAGTCTTCCAAGAGGAGGGTGGAGTCAACTGCATCCACTGACACTGAGGGCAGAAAAGTGTCCACCTACAACCCACCTACAACCAGGCCCTTGACTGAGTCCAACTTTCACCCTACCTCTGCATGCCAGAGCTCTCCAGTTCCTCAGATTTCTTTTTTCTCTGCTCCCTAGGTAATCTTATCCAGTTCCATCTATGTGTTGACAGCTTGCTATTTTTCATTTCTAGCCTAAAAGTCTCCCCAGAACTCAACTCATACAGCTAGCTGCCTAGCAGACATTTCTGCTTCTAAGTCTAATAGACATCTCAAAGTTAACATACCCCAAAATGAGCTTCTGATATTCCCTTTGTTCCCATCAGACTTTCTCCCTCTTGTTTTCCATCACTCAGTAAATAGCACCATGTATATAGTTGTGCAAGCCAAGATCTTGAGAGTCATTCATGACTCTTTGCACATTTTCCTCATCCCCTATACTTTCCATTCACAAGTCCTGAGGTGTCCCCTCCAAAGTTCAAATTGCTCTTGAATCCATTCATGTCACTTTATGTCCACTGCAACCACCCTAGATTCATCATTATTGGTCACCTGGATTATTGCAATGCCTCTTTAGCAATCTCTTTGCTTCATCTCTTATATCACCCCTCTGCCACCGACCCTTTTTAAGGATAAGTTAGAGCATATCCCTTCTCTTTTCAAAACCGTCAGTGGCTCCTGATCTAACTCAGAGAAGAAGCCAAGGTCATTACAATGGCCAATGAGGCTTCCACATGCCTCTCCCCACCAACATCTTCCTTCCCCCCACCCCACACCCTGCAGCCTCATCTACTCTGCTCACTCTGCTGCATTCACACTGGTTTCCTTCTTTCTCCTCAAACACACCAGGCATGTTTCTCCACAGTGCCTTTGCTCACGCTGTCCCTTCTGCCCGGAACACCCTTACAGATACAGCTTGCTCCTCCAGTTTCTTCATGTCAACTTCAAAATGGCCTCTCCTCGCCATCCTTTCTAAAATTGCAACACCTCTCTCTAATATTTCCTAGCTTTGTTTTCTCCCTAACACTATCCTTATCATAATTCTTATGTCTTCCTTGCTGTTTACATGTTTCTTATCTGTTTCCATCCAACTCCCACCCTATCCCCCACCAGAATATAAATTTTCGGATTTTTTTTGTTGGCAAGAAAGCTTTTTCACTGTTATTCCTACACCTAAAACAGTGTCTGGCATGGTAAGTGCCATAAATATTTATCGAATAAATGGATTAATAAATCTTTTGAGAAGAGGATCAGAAAAACACTCAAGTACCTGGAGCAGGTTATAGAATTCAGGGCAGTGAAGGTCAAAGATGGAAGTCACTAGAACAAGTATATGTGGTTACAGTAATGACCTGGTAACTAGGGACCAGTTGATGCTGCAGGAGAGAAAGTGGACAACTGCAGAGCTAATTCCTCCAGTAGGTGAGAGATGAAATAAAGATCACAGCCATGGCTATGGGAGCAGGGACCCTTCCTCTGCTGTAGCAGGAGGGGGAGTGAGCAGATGGATGCAGAGCTGGCAAGGCAGTAGACTGGGTGGAGGAAGATGAGGCTCCTATTTTCTCCATGAAGAAGGAGGGGAAGTCAGGAGCTGGAACAAGTGTGGAGAAAAGAAGCAGAGGAGATCTGAGGGGAGGGCGGGTAAGGGAGCTTAAGTCTCTTGAAGAGGGAGAAAGGGAGCCTACTGGAGCGGAGTGGCCTAACCCCCAATAATTTCCATCAAGTTCCCTTGATACAGATAATCATCTCCTTCTCATTCTTCTGTAAAAGTGCTGAGCAAATGCAGCTTCCAGCCGCCCTTGGCTCCAAACAGCCGCCGAGAGCCTCCCTGACCCTGGAATTTGGCACGGTGACCCACCGCAGTGAGGCGGAGGCCGCCAGATCACCTGCTCCCCGCCACCAGTTCTTCCAGCACCTGTTTCAGCCATGTGTAGGTGCCAGGCCCAGGCCTGCGCTGCAGAATCTCAACCTCCTGCAGCCCCTGGTCCTGTGCAACAGGGCCCCAGGGTCAGAGTCAGGAGTCCGACCTCTTTTAGAACACACACACACCCGCCCACCAGAGCCCGGCCCACTCACGGCCGCACCTCTGGGCCCTTTGCTTCTTTAGCCTCACCTGGTTCGTGGTTCCTTTTTTCTAGCTCTCTGCTGGCTCCACGCCTGGGGGGCTGGACCCCCAGTAGCTCTACCCACGTCCTTCGCCCGGCCCCTTCCTGGGTGTAGCAGCCCTGAAGCCCTGTCTTCCCACAATTTCTGGCCTTCTCAGTTTGCCCAGAGCTGTGCTCCTTGGCTGTCTAGCCTTGCACCTGCGAGGTGCTGGCTCCCTCATGCTCTACCTATTAGCTTCGCCCCGGAGCTCCCTTCAAAGGCCGCCGTCTTCCCGACACCCCTACGTGCTGGCCTCTCCCTGTGGGCGCCCGCCTCGCCCTCACCAGCCTCTCGGCCACTTTCCATACGTAGTTAGTGCTCTGCAGGCGCCACGTGTGATCCTCCCAGCGGCTCCACATGCGCACGCATGGCTTGCGGTGACGCAGGGGCAAGCCAAAGTAGGGCCTGTGTGGGGCAGAGGAGAGCAGAGGGGGTTAGGGGCAGTAGTGGGCCACTGGGGACCTCCCAACGCCCTCCTTCCAGCCACAAGGAACACTTACCCGTTGCTGTCCATGGGCTCAGGCCGCTGGGCAGGGGTCCCTAGCTCCTCCTCCTCCACTGGCCCGACTCCCAAGACCGTCTCCAGCAGAGGCTGTGCTTCCATGCCCTCCGCTCCCTCCCCGGCCCTGGACCCTCAGCCCAGTTGCTCCTCCCGCCGGCGGCCTGTGCGGCTTGCCAGAGCAGCAACGGTCAGGGGGCACCAGGCTGAGGGGCTGACCCCTGCTTCACACCTCTTCTACTTCAATAAAATTCAGAACCTACCCCTTACTGAGGGTCAACTGTCCCTTCCAGGGGCCTCAGTCCAGAACAAGAGTCACCATCCTCAAACCTGTGACCCTCAGGGGTCCAGCTAGGCCACACACCAATGGAGATCTTGAAGCTGATTGGCTAGGAGGCCAAGGCAGGGTCAATCATGGTGACCTCGAAAAGCACACCAAGTAGCAGGAAATCTTGCAAGGGCGCCAGGGCATTCTGAGGAAGGAGGGTCAGTCTGCAGTCAGCCCCCACCTACCCAGGTTGCACCCCGGACTTTGCTTGGCCACAATGCCCACTGAAAGACATGGCAACCAAGGCCTAGATAGGTCACTACAAGTATCTTCTGACTGGTCAGCCCCCTCCCCACATATGTATATTCACAAGAGCACATGTATACACACACTGCATTCTTTATCCAGACCCCAAAATTCAGACTCCACTTTCTGTGTTAAATGCCTGGGAGCCAGTTACACACCCCAGAGCTGAGAGTGACCCTGTGGCTTTGCTAAACCCCAGCCCCCACCTCTGGCAGAGGCAGCAACTCCTCCACCTCCACCTCGATGGCACTAGGAATCTCAGGACCATCTCCACTGGAGCTGGCATCCAGGTGCTGTGGGACCCCATTGGGTTCTGGCCCCGCATGGCTTTCTTCTTCTTTTTCATGAGCCGGGATAATCTGGGTCCCTGTGGGGCCTGGGGAGGCTCAGGTTCAGCTCTCCCTTCGGACACTTCCATGGACACAGCCACCAGCAGGCGGCCACGGAGCCAAATGCCTTGGTCAAGGCCTTCATTGAGACTTTGAAGACCATCCAGGAGCCCCCCGCTGGGGGGAGATCCATAGAGAGCCACCAATGCCGGGCCGAAGGTGGGGTTAAACCCCGAGGTGGGAGACAAGAACAGCGTTTTGGAGGGGAGCATGGGGCAGATGGGCCCAAGGTCAGTCTATGTGGCACACCCTTATCTCCTGCAAATCCAAGGGGGCGGGGAGTCGGATTGGGCCTTGGCGGCTCCGAGAGGGAAGTCTGCGAACAGCTGCGGACCGACAGCTACGGAGCAAGACCCGAGAGCCACTTCTAAACCAGTCCAGCTCCCAAAGGCGCTAGGGACAAAGGAGCTGTGGCTCTGGGGCCGGAGTCAGAGCCGTAGGGGTGGAGTCACGATTGGGGCGGAGCCGCGGGTGATCCCCTGAGGGTCTGGGGAAACCGACGAGGTATGTGACTGGGATTGTTCCTGCACGTGTACTTCTGTAGGGAGAGCACACTGGCGTGGTGACTGGAGAAGCGGCTGTACTAAGGATTTTGTCACCAGAACCAACCCGAGAGCGGGGTTTATAGTCTGGGGGCAACAGGTGAGGCTCCAAAGGGAGGGGCCGGCTTGGAGCACAGGTTACTAGGGGTGGCCCGAACTCTCTAAGCGGAGCGGGGCCTCCGGGGTGGCGTTTGCCGTCGGGCGCGGGACCAAGGGCAGGCCGGGCGAGGCGGACGCAGCAGGCGCTGGCTAAATGCGCTCACCCGCGCCAGCCCGGGTGTGAGATCTGCCTCAGGTCCAGCACGTGCGTGGCGACGGCCACATCGACCAGGGGTGCGTCGTCCCTCAGCTGCAGACGGAGGCCGCGCGTCAGCGGCGGGAAGAGCTCCACGAAACTCAGCTGCTCGTTCCATTCGGGCGCCGCCGCCTTGCCGCGCACCGACGTCTCGCCCCGAGGGCCGCGGCGAAGGCCGGCGGAGAGGGGTCAGCGCGGGACCAGGGCCCGAGCCTCGGCCGAGTGGGGACGGGAGGGACTTACCTGCTGCCCCAGGAAAGACACGCGCACGTAGGGGTCCATGAGGACGCACTGGTCCTGCAAGGCGCGGGCCAGACTCCCCAGCAGCCCCGGGCGCAGCGCCGGCAGCCCCTCGACGCGGAACACGCGCACGCGCAGCCGCGCCCACGTCCTCTGGGCGGGCACCCTGCGATGCAGGAGCAGGTTCTTAGGGAAGCCCGGCGCTGAGGCCGGGGGGGGGGGGGGGGGTGCCGCCGTCTCGGCCCCTCCCCGTCTCCGCCTCCCTGAGGCCACGCCGGGTCCTCCTTACCCCCTCCGCCTCCCCACCCGCCCTCACCCCAGCTCCCTTGTCGATGTCCGGACTGTGCCCGGGGCCTGGGGCTGGTAGCGGAGGGGGCAGGTCCCCGCGCGCCCGCACGGACAAAGTGACCTTGACGAAGCCTTTGGTCCCGGCACGGGTGTCCCGGGGATCGTGCAGCGGAGCCCATTTCTGGTAGAGGTGGCCGTCTGGGGGCGGAGGGGCGAGCCACGGGTCAGGGGAGACCCGCGGGCTGCACGGGGCAGTCGTGGGGCTGCGCTGACCCGGGTTCATGTCCGACTCGGTAGGGAGGAGCGGGAGTGCCTGGAGGTGAGCCTTAGGAAGAGGCTTCTGTCCCCGAAGTTAGTATCTAGGGATCAGGGCCCAGAGGGTCAATTTCCCCTGTCGGTGCAGATGAGTCTAAAGGAGGGGAGGGTTCGGTACCTGGCTGGTAGAAGATAATGCCCAAGTCCATCCTGAAGGTTCCTATCCGGGAGGCCATGAAGGGGAGGGTCTGCGAATGGAAAGCCTGGGGGAAGGTGGGGTTAGTTCTGGAACTTCGGCATCCCCCTTTCTCTGGCGGATACGTCTTATTCCTACCCGCCTCACCGTGATCTCCAGCAGCAAGTCTTGGAGGTGAAGCCGGGTCTCATGAAATTCGAACAAGAAGTACTAGGTTGAAGTGGGGTAACGAGAGGTGAGAGAAAGTATATGTGAAGGGTTCACGCCAGCTGGCCCCTGCCTCTTGCAAAGAGAACGCCCCCTCCCCGTCCTGGCGCCCCTTGGCACCCTTTCCCTCACGGAGCCCCTCTTAACCTCAGGCACTTGCTCCGTTCCACCTAGGCCACGCCCCCTCCGCAGACAGGGTAAATCCTGGGTCCCACCGGTTCTCTCAGGCCCCACTCTTCCTTAGTCGCACGCACCTCGTTGTAGAAGGGGCAGTTAGTCCCACGCTGCGTGGCGGTCACTCGGCGCTGCTCCCCGACACGCACTGCCACATAGGGATTAATGTTGACTCCTACCAGCTTCTGGGCCCTGAGCACTGTGACCCCCACCTGAAGGGGGCAGGAGCAAGAGAAAAGGAAGCCATCCCCTGCCAAAGTTGGGAGGAAACCCAAGTGTGTGGAGAGCGGGTGGTATTCCCCAAGGGTTCGGGCCCAGAGGGAGAGCCGTACCTGGAAGTCGTGAGCTCTGGACACCTGGAAAGGATCCCCTCGGTCCAGGCCCCGAGCTCGGCTGCCTGGAAGGACAAGGTCAGCTCTCACTTCACTTCCTCTCCCGGACCACCTACACACTCTTGCTCAGTGCTACGGATAAGACCTCCTCTCCCTCTGAACTTCCGGATTCTGAGTGCTTTCAGTCTGTCTGGCATCCATCTCAACCATATACCCAGAATTTGACCCATTCCTGGAACCCTGAGACCATTCATTCATTCAGCAGAGATTTGTTGAAAACCTACCATGTGCCAACCCTATTCTAGGCCCTGGGACACTGCAGTGAACAAAAGAGACAAAATTCCTTACCCTTATAAGTGGGCTCCAGAAGCCCCACGTGTGCCAGTGTAACTGTGTGTGTGAATGGGGCAGGGTGTATGTCTAGGAGTAAGTGACCCTTGGCCCCAGGATATCCACTCCTCACCCACACCTTGGGATCGTGTGATTGTAGTGTGGATGAGCACAGGCCTACATGTATAAGCATGTGAGGTTGACACACTGGTGGGTGTGGGAGCAGGTGAGCAGTGGGTACAAGTTACCTCTTGAGGTGGCTGAACACGACACCAGAAAGCGCCACATCAGTCTCGTCCTCCAGCTCCAGCTCCAGCTCCAGCTCCAGCTCCAGCTCATTGTCTTCATCATCCTGCTGAGCTAGGCCTCGAGCTAGCCTGTGGCCCAATGCCACTGCCCGCCGCTCCAGCCGGGCCTCCCCGGCCTGATAGGAAAGGCCTTCAAGGGACATGTCTGGAACCTGTCACCCATCTCTGGGCACCCCTTGACTTCCCTGACCCTAGGACTGACTTCTGACCATTGGACTGACCCCACCCACTATTTCCAGGACTGACCCCTAACCTGGGACCCCTAATTCGAGAATTGACTCCTGATTCTAGGACTGACTTCTCACTCTAGAATTTATTAAATACTGATCCCAGACCCTGGCACTGACCCTGTGCCACTGACTCCTAATCCCAAGACTGACTTGGTGATCCGAGATCATCCCCACATACTTACTCCAGCTCCTGGAAGCCCACATTGGGGATGATCAGTTCTGAGCTGGAAGGATAAATGAAAGGAGTGAGGGGCTGTGCGTGACTACAGAGCTGCAGCCTGGGCAGCACAGGCCCGACGGTCACCACATCCAGCAGATCCAGGTCCCACTTCTCCCTTCCACGACCTGCCTGGGCTGGGACAATCTGGCCTTGCTTAGATGGCAGGAGGTTGGGGAGGGTACCTGTCCTGGATGGATGCTCCAAAATCCTCCTCTGCCCTGGCTCCAGTTGCACCCTCTGGGGACTGAGACTTCAGGTCAAGACTCCACCTTTATCTGAAACCAAACACACAGTGCGCCCCAGCGCCCCTCAAACTGCCTGGAGCTAAAAGAAGTCCAAAGACAAGGCCTTTTCCTGGCCTGCATCTGTGATGAGTTTGTGGTTCCTCTCTGGTCATTAATAATCTTGACAACTTATTAAGAACTTGGCATATGCTAGTTACCTCTTGAAGGGGCCAAACACAACTCCAGAATTCTCTTATTGCTCTTGGAAATTCATGACTGTGGCTTCACTGTTCTGCATGGTCTGGTCCCTGCCAACCTTTCCAGCCCTGTCTCATATGGGGTTTGCTCCTGCCCTGCACCCCAGTTATACTCTCTCAGAGCACTGGGAGTTAGTTAACTCTTACCATCCTTCCATTCAAAGTTCAACTGCTACTTCCTCAGGGAACCCTAGCTGACCCCCAGGTAGGTTACATCCCTCTGTTACACACTTTCCCAACCCCCTACCAGCTCTTTTGTAACACCCATCAGTGACAATTTTGCATTTATTCGTGGAATATTTGTTTAATGTTTGCCTCTCTCTTTAGATATAGAATTCTAAGAGGGCAAATCCTTATCTGGCTGTGCTCACCACTCAATCCTCATTGCCTGGCACAGCTTACAATCAGAGCTCAACAAACAGACTGATTGAAAAGTTCAACATTTCCTATGACTCCACATAATGTAAATGAGGAAACAGCTTAGTGAAGCTAAATAACTTGTCCAAGTTCTCGGCTGGGAAATGGTGGATCTGAGATTGGAACCCAGGTCCATTCCTACCAGGTTATATGACCCTCCATGAAACACCAGGAAAATCCAGCCATGTTCATCTTTGCCTCCCAAAAGAACTTAGTCTGGTCCCGGGCCAGGGAGCAGAACAGAACTTCTCTTCCCCCATTGCCACACCCCTGGTCCTCAGAGCGGAGCCTGGCCCTTAGCCCGTGTAGGGGCTAGCCCGCGTAGAGGCCACAGTGAAAGGAGTCCTGGCTGGGTGGCCTTGTTATCACTCCTGTCTGGACCTCAGAGGGACTCTCAGGCTTGGGGATGGCAGGCTGAGGACTGGTGGGACTCGCCGGGGTCACTCGCAGATTCTCATCCACTAGGGCCTCCTGTAGCACCAAATGCCCAATACTCTGTAGCTGGGGCAAGGAGATCACCAGTATCCTGAGAGACCTGCGGGTGTGGCAGGGAGCAGAAGAATGACCCAGGAGGATGGCCCCATGCCAGTCCAGCCCTACCTGCATCCTTGGCTCCCCCAAGCCTACTCACCTGGGGCTGAACACACGGCTGCAGTTAACCACCTGCACCGACAGGCACTCCCCGACCAGCAGAGCCCCATAGTGTGGCCAACAGAACTGCTGGGGATAGGAGGAATCTTGTGATACACAACACTGGGCTGACCCTGACCGCCAGTCCAGAGCCTATCTTAACCCTGAAACAGGATCCAACCCTCCAAACTAGGAGCTAATTCTATGACTAATGTCCCAAACCTGGAACCAACTCCCCCTTCCCCAACACAGGGTTGACTCCAAACTAGGGCTGATCTGAGGGTAACTACCAGTCAAGAACTAATCCCCCCTCACTCTTAATTCTGACTGGGTCTGGCTTCTCAAGCCTGAGACTGACCCCACTTCCTGAGAATACAGCTCCCAAAACCCAGGAATAAGCCCCCAACTCATAAAGAGGGACTTGGATGGGGCACAGATCAGCTTCTCCACATCCAGGACCCAATCCCACTCACCTCACCGATATCTGCTTCTTGACCACAGTGAATTCTCCTTGTTTTTTGCATGAAGCCTGCTCAGAATTGAAATAGTCATTTATCAGTCCCTCCCCACAAAAAAATATCACACACACACACACACACACACACACACACACACACACACACACACCACAGACGCCCAGCCCAGGGTCCAGTCTCCCAGGGTTCACCCTTAAAGAAAGGTAGAAGATGGACAGGAAAAGAGGCAGAGAACTGGGCTGTGGGGAGGAAGGAGACAGGCTGGAGAGATGCCTAGGCACTGGATTGGGGGCCTAGGGCATGGAGAAATGGGAGCCCCCAGTTCCAAAATCCTTAGAGCACCCCTACAAAGCCTCACCCCGAAAGCTGAGCCTCACTTGTCGGTCATGGGTGCCTGGCAGCCCTGTCAGTCGCCGCACACATTGCCCCAGGGCCACTGGCTCTCCCTCTGCCTGTCCGCCCTCCTGCCCACCTGCCCACTCACCCCATTTGCCTCTGACTCAACTGGACTCACCCAGCAGGTTCAGCAATCCCTGCCCTTTAGTCAAACACACAGGCAGGCCTGGAGGTCATGGGTGGAGAGGGAGCCGAAGGACTGAGAGAAAGGGGTAAGGTCCCTATGGTCAGCTCAGTCCTCCGCCTGCACCAGCTTTAGCCTCCAACCTGCATGCATCCTGGTGAAGTGGGAGCTGGGATAAGGTGGCGATGGAGTTAAGGGAAGAGACAGAACCCTAGTCTGTCCCCACTAGCCAATGAGGCCTCAAGGGCACAGGTCTCAGGATACTCCTTAATCATCTCTCTGTCCTCAGTGCCCCGCTGAGGGTCTGGTATGTGGTAGACCCTCAAAAAACTGACTAAATAAATGGATGGATTAATAAATGAATCCCCTAGCCCCCAGCATTAGTGCGGTAGGCACTCAACACATTTGAATTAATGAGTGGTTGAATGTATGTCCCTAGCTTGCACACAGCAGGTGTTCAGAACACTTCTTAAACAACTTGGGGACTTGGGGGTCTTACTAGTGGGCCCATAGATAAGCTTCAGGGGGTCTGAAAATTCTTGAAATTGTCTATAAAATATTGAACAATTGTGCATTTTTCTGGACATAGAGCTCCTCGTTTAGGTTAGTAACCCTTAAACAGATGTGCAGTACGTTTACCGAATGAAGGAATGAATGTATATGGGAGTCTGTAGCCATGTGTGATTGTAACTGTGTGTTGAGTGCATATCCTGGCCATCCATTTAATCGTTCTGTTTAATGACACCTGCTATATCCAAGACTTGTGCTATGCCACCATGTAGGGGAAGGGTGCAGCCACAGAGGTGAATCAGACATGTTCTCTGTCTTTCGGTAGCTTCACGGATTCCAACACCAAACAAAGTATAGAGAGACTGCAATTGCCATCAGACCAGGATACGGTCAGGACTCAGGAACTCAAGAGGAGGGAGGCCAGAGGCACTTTCCCTGAAGAGAGAGTGTTTAAGATGGGCTTTTGAGGGGGCACCTGCCTGGCTCGGTCAGAAGAGCATGTGACTCTTTTTTTTTTTTTTTTGAGCATGTGACTCTTGATCTCAGGGTCATGAGTTCAAGGCCCACATTGGGCATGGAGCCTAGTTAAAAAAATAAATAGGTAAAATAACATGGGCTTCGAGGACAGGAGTTGAGCAGAGAAGGACATCCAGAGGAAGGACTGCAGGGTGGGTTCCGGAACCTGAGATTTGTCATTTTGGCCTGTGTACAAGGAATGTATCAGGCAGCAGCAGAGATAAGATTAGACCTTCAGAGGAGCTGGGTCTTGCTGTGTGGGTCTTGAGCCAGACATAGTCCCTCCTTGTGCTTCAGCTTCTCCAATTCAACAGAGGGGCTGGAAAGCCCTGTTCTACCTGTTTCCCAGATAATCAGGCATGGGTTGTTCTGTTTTTAAGTAAGGTCCAGGTTACACCTTAAGGCCCCAGATGTTGGGGGAAGGCTTCACCTCCCCAGTTGACAGATAGGGGCAATGGGATCCAAAGGAAGGCGGAGAGGGGACCAGAATTCTTAGCTTGCAGTGCCTTGGCCTTTCCCTCCCTTCACCCCTAAACTCTGTGGCATCTAATCAAGCAGGGTATTGATGCCACCCCTCTGGAAACTAATGTGGGCATTTCCCCTTCTTTTTTTTTTTTAAGATTTTATTTATTTGAGAGGGAGAGAGAGAGCGAGAGCAAGCGAGAGCACAAGAGCAGGGGGAGGGAGAAGGAGACTCCCCGCTGAGCAGGGAGCCCCATGCTGGGCTTGATCCCAGGATGCTGGGATCACCACCAGAACCAAAGGCAGACACGCTCAACCAACTGAGCCACCCAGGCATCCTGGGCACTTCTCCTTCTGGGCAGGAACACAGCCTGGCAAGTTCTCGCTCCCCCTCAACCCCTCTAAGAACTGTCACTTTCTCTTCCTAACATTCCAAAGAAGATGGGATGTGGCAGAAAGTATTGGGCTCGAGGGCAAGATTTTGGAATTCTAATCTCTATCATACACTGTGTGGACCCTAGAAACTCCTTTCCCCTTTCTGGATCTATTTGCCTAGCTGTGTAATGTGCATAGAATGCACTGCATTGCTTTTCAAAGTGTGGTCCTTAATCGGGATCACACACATGGTTGTTAAAAATGCACATTCCTGCACCCACTCAAGAAATGCTGAAGTAGAATCTCAAAATGTATCTGGGAACCTGAATTTCTATTCTGTTGCACAGTAGGAGTGTGGGAACCTCTGGTCTCTTGGCTGTGACCATCTGGGATTCTTCATTCCATTTTCTGCAATGCAAGATGGATGGTCTGAGTGTGGGTATGGTGGTTGATGGGGACTGAATTCTCACACCACGGACCTCTGGTGAATATGGGTTTGGGAGAGGGAAGCACAGATCCCAAGGTCAGAGTTCTCTGGCCTGAGGACTAGGACGAGTGGAGGGGCCTGAAGGGTTTGCCCGGCAAAAGAAAACTAAATGTTTATTTAGAAGTGCCCTGGGTGGGTGCCTGGGTGGCTCTGTTGGTTAAGCAACAGCCTTCGGCTCAGGTCATGATCCTGGAGTCCTGGGATCAAGTCCCACATCGGGCTCCCTGCTCAGCAGGGAGTCAGCTTCTCCCTCTGACCTTCTTCCCTCTCATGCTCTCTCTCTACCATTCTCTCTCTCAATAAATAAATTTAAAAAAAAATCTTAAAAAAAAAAGTGCCCTGGGTGACTCCCTGCCTCCTCCTCCTCTTTTTTTTTTTTTTAAGATTTTATTTATTCATTTGACAGAGAGAGAGAGAGCGCACAAGCAGGGGGAGCAGCAGGCAGAGGGAGAGGGAGAAGGAGGCCCCCCAGTAGGTCCTGGAGGATACACTAGTGAACAAGACAAAAATCCCTGTCTTCATAAAGTTTACGTTCTGGTGGGTGTGACAGGCAATGGATAGAATATGTATGTAAGTAAAATATACAGCATGTTGGTGATATGAGCTGAGGAGAAAAACTAAGCAGGAAGAGGGATAATCTTTTATGACAAGTGCATAAGATAGGGCCTTCTGGGAAGTGATGTGATGTAATCGCTTGCTTTAACATGGGAAAGAATAAGAGACTGCCATGGCTCCCAGGGACTTCACGACTAGCTCTGTGACGCACCCTCCGGGAGTTCCGTAGAGACCCTAGGCTCCTTTATGACGTCAGCAGCCGGGCTCAGCTACAGGGGAGAGGGTTGAATCAAGCCGGGGGCCCCGCCGGCTGCACACAGGGTCCGTGGCGTCCCGGCGGCGCACATCCGCGGAGGGAGAGCCTTGCCGGCTGCGGCGGCAACTTTGGCGTCCGTGAGAGGGCGCCCCGGGGTCAGGATGCGGCGGAGCCCTCGCCCGGGCTCGGCCACTTCCCCTCACAAGCACACGCCCAACTTCTACAGCGACAACAGCAACAGCTCAGTGAGCGTCACCTCGGGGGACAGCAGCGGGCACCGGTCAGCTGGGCCGGGGCCCGGGGAGCCCGAGGGCAGAAGAGCCCGGGGCTCGAGCTGCGGTGAGCCCGCCTTGAGCGCAGGAGTGCCCGGAGGAACCACATGGGCTGGAAGCTCTCGGCAGAAGCCGGCGCCTCGGAGCCACAATGGGCCGACCGCCTGTGGCGCGGCAACCGTGAGGGGCGGGGCCTCGGGTGCGGGCGGGGTCGAACCCGGGAGAGTTTAGGGAGGGGGCGGGGCCTGGCATGGAATCGGGATTAAGTCTATCTGGACACCCCCTAAGGGGCGGGGCCTGTAGGGCGAAGAGGGGAGGCATCAAATACGATTCCTTAAGGGGCGGGACCTCGGTGTGATGGACGGTCCTGGGAAGGGGTAGGGAAATCCTGTGATTGGACACAACTGAGGAGGCGCGGCCTCGGTGTTAGCATAAGTAGCTACAGAGAAATAGGGCAGCATCAAGACTTGCCTGGGGGCGGGGCCTCCGTTCCGCTGGGGGATCAACGTCTTGACTTAGCAAGGGGCCTCAGAGCGCTGAGAGAGACCTAGGGTGGGGATGCGGTGGGACCAGTGCCCGTGGAGGCTGCGCCGCTTCTGGGCTGGGGAACCTGCGGCCAGGTCTCGGGGAAAGAGTAGACCTGCCTTGCGCAAGGCCCCAATGGCGCCCCTGGGCTCCCGCAGAACCGGCTGGCTCTCCCGTAGTCTCTGAGGAGCAGCTCGACCTTCTCTCAACCCTGGATCTGAGGCAGGAGATGCCTCCACCGCGCGTGTCCAAGAACTTCTTGAGTACGGGCCAGGCCAGCCTGGAAACCCTCTGACCTTCTGGCTCCCCTCTCTGAACTCCAGTTCTCATTTCTGAGAGACCCTGCTCGTTCTGAGCCCCGATCCCATGTCAGTCTCCAGCCCTTTCCCTGAGCCCGATCCACCTTCTCTCAGCGTGAACTCATTCTCCTTGCCCCCATCTAATTCTCCTAGCCCACCCCTCTCTTCCCAAGCCCCTCCTGAACCTCAAACCCCACGCCCTCTGAGCCCTTCTTCAGCCCTGCCCTCCCTCTAAGCCCCCTCTCCTCTCCCCAGACCTGCTGTTGCAGGTGCTGAGCGTGTTGCTGTCCCTGGTAGGAGACGTGCTGGTCATTGTGTACAGGTCAGAGGGAGGGAATGGGGCGGGGAGCAGGGCCGGACCCGCGGAGGCTTGAGCCTGACTCAGTCAGACCTGGCTGAGTCGTGTCCGCGGAAGCTGGGTCTAGGGCCTGGCGTGGGGCTGCGGGGTGCATTAGGGTCCCGGGCCTCAGTCTCCCTCCGGTTCTTCAGGGAGGTCTGTTCCATCCGCTTCCTGCTCACGGCTGTGTCACTGCTGAGCCTCTTTCTGGCAGGTGAGGGGGTGGAGAATCCCCTGGGGCCCCAGCCCTGGCTGCTTTGCAGCCAAACCCGGCACATTTTCTCCTATATCCCTTAGCCCACTCAACACCTTCAGCTGCTCACAGTCCCCTTCAGAGCCCACTAGCCCCCCTCAGACGCAGCAGCCCCCCTCAAGCCTTTTCTCTCCTCACCACCCCTTTATGCCAGGGAAACCCTCTCCCTCGGCTTGCCCTTAGACCACTCCTCTTTCTCCAGCACTCTGGTGGGGGCTGCTGTACCTGGTCCCTCCTTTGGAGAATGTGAGTCAGGGCAACTGTATCCCAGGGTGGGTGGTTGGCAGGGTATAACCCTGGAGATTGTGGGGGTCCCCTTGGCTGGTGGGAGGGGGACAGCGCTGGAGGCTCTAATCCTAAGGAAGGGATATAAACAGATCTCTGAAGGACTGTGCCCAGAGATGGTTGGGGGTCTCTGAGAGGTCCTGGCAGGTCAAGGAAGGGAGGGGGGCAGTCCTCAAAAAGAAGGCCCTTTGAGTCCGGCTGCTCCCAGGCTGATGTGGGAGAAGAGAGTGGGAGGGAGCTGAGCAGCGCTGTATTTTGTCCCTCCCTCCCTCCAATAGGAACCTCAGGAGATGCTGACTCTAAGGTGAAAGAGGGCTACTGGGGTGGGGGATTAGGGGGCTCAAAGGCGCTTCTGTGCGAGGCCTTACGGGAAGTGCCCAGGGGGACAGTGAGCCAACCGCATGCGCCAACCTCCCGCCCGCAGCGAGTACCACGAGCGCGTGCGCTCCCAGGGGCAGCAACTGCAGCAGCTCCAGGCCGAGCTGGATAAACTACACAAGGAGGTGTCCAGCGTTCGCGCAGCCAACAGCGAGGTGAGGCCTGCAGCCTCCTGTCTGTCCAAAGTGTCGTCCCGTGGCTCTGCACACTGCTCAGTCCAAGGTCCACCTTGGAAACCCCTTGCGGAGCCCCGTTCCCTGGGTCCCGAGCGGTAAACCCCGCCCCAGAGCCCTGACTTGGGATTTCTCCCAGGGCCCACAAAATCCAACCCAGAGAACCGAGTCCCAGAACTCTGCCCCCCGAAAAATCTGCCTGCAAGCTCCGTCCCTCCAGGGCCCGCCCTCCCTCTTTTCAGAGAGTGGCCAAGATTGTATTCCAGAGGTTGAATGAAGACTTTGTGAGGAAACCTGACTACGCGCTGAGCTCTGTGGGTAAGACCCAGAGACACTGCAAGACAGACTCAGAGACACGGAAAGGGGCGGAGACATTGACACAGACAGACCTACGCACATGCCCGGCCCAAAGAGACCGACCTCGGAGACCCTGCCCCAGCTGTCAGGCCTGGGAGCCTCTGAGTGATTGCTTCTCCCTGCTCCAGGGGCCTCCATCGACCTAGAAAAGACATCACACGACTATGAGGATGCGAACACTGCCTACTTCTGGAATCGCTTCAGCTTCTGGAATTACGCGCGGCCGCCAACGGTTATCCTGGAGGTGGGCCTGGAACCTGGATCCCAGAACCAGACCAGGGGCGGGATGCTTGGGAAAGGACCGCACAGCTCCCTGGAGGTGGGACCCGGCGGAACTGAGGGCGTGGCGCTGGGCGGGGCCCTGCCTGGCAGAGAATGGGAGCGGCTGGAGGCGGGGCCTGGTGGTGCTAGGGCCTGGTAATGCTAGGGACTGGGGCACCGAACAGGATCTGGCTGGACAGACACCCGGACTCCGGGTGGACGACTGGGCGGGGCCGACGAAGAGGTTGAGCTGGGGGGGACGGGGGGCTACCTGAACCAATGCCCAGGCTGGGGAAGGGCCTAGTAGCTCTGTCGGTGGGTTCTGAAGGTCTACCTGCTCGCCTGCAGCCAGATGTGTTCCCTGGGAATTGCTGGGCTTTTGAGGGCGACCAGGGCCAGGTGGTGATCCGGCTACCGGGTCGTGTGCAACTGAGCGACATCACCCTGCAGCACCCACCACCCAGTGTGGCACACACCGGGGGAGCCAACAGCGCCCCCCGCGACTTCGCAGTCTACGTGAGTGGGGCTGAGGCCAAGGAGGTGGGGGATTTTGCCTAGAAAGTACCAGTCATGAAAACTGGTGTCACTGAGTCTTTGCTTGCTTATCTATAAAATGGAGATACTACCACTCGCCTCTCAGGCCTATAGGTTAGAATTACAACCATATCCAAACATTAGGTATGGCTTTATTGAGCGCTTATTCTGTGCTTTGCATGGATCATCTCCTTGCATCCAGTCAACAACCTAAGAAGTGCTATCATCTCCCCTCTCACTGATGAGGAAAGTAATGCTCAGAAAGGGGATCTTATTTGCCAAAGTCACACAGCTAACAATTGGCAGACTAAACTGCAACCTGGTTTCTTGGAGCCCTCATCCCACACTACACTACCCTAACACCAAAAAATATTCGTGCATACAACTACTGCCATAGTAGGTCCTCCATGAAGTTGCTTTTTCCCTCTCCCACCTGTGCCTCACTGTTCCCTCTACTCACTCTTCACCCACCAGGGCCTCCAGATTGATGATAAGACTGAAGTTTTCTTGGGGAAATTCACCTTCGATGTGGAGAAATCAGAAATTCAGACTTTCCACCTACAGGTGTGTGTCTCTGGGGGTGAGGGTGCTAAAGGAACGGGACAGCAAAGGAAGACTGGAGAGGAAGGCAGCCCTTGGGACAGCAGGCCTTGGCATGATCCATTTGTCTCCCCAGAATGATCCCCCAACTGCCTTTCCCAAGGTGAAGATCCAGATTCTAAGCAACTGGGGCCACCCCCGTTTCACATGCTTGTATCGGGTCCGAGCCCACGGCATGCGAACTTCAGAGGAGGCAGGAGACAGTACCACAGGGGAACCCCATTAAACATGCTGATTGTTGGAGTAGAGTGCAGATCTGTGTTCAAAGAAGCTGGATCCATGCTTAGGTGGGGTGGGGAGGGCTCTGGTTGCCTTTGGTATATAAATATGGTGGTGGGGGGTCTACTTTCCAATGCACCCTCTTAATTTGGAGTTCAGATCACTATGATAGCAGCTCATGTTTTTGGAGTACTTACCACGTGCAAGAGATGGTGCTCTGGACATTCTACACATTATCTAACTAATCCTCATAACCCCAGAGGGGGAAACCGCCCAGGTCATGAAACACTCAAGGGAACAGTGCCACAGTGGAACCCAAATCTACCTTCTTCCAGAGGCCACCCTCTGTAACTCAGAGCTGCCAGTCAGCCTGAAGCCATATTTGTGCACCTTGCTTCCTACCCATACCCTCTGGGAAAGTGCTCCCAACTCCTGCTAGGTGCAGGTGGAGAAGTTAACTACCCCTTTTCTTGAAGTAAACACGCAAAAACTAAGGAGTCTTGAGAACCTGTAGGAAGCATCAGAGTCAGAGTTGATGCAGGCCTGGTAGCCCCATCTCAGGCTGTCTTTACTGCAAGGCCCAGTACAAGTGGTGTAGTGTTCATCGGTCCCTGCCATCAGGGAGCCTGACAGGAGGGAGGATGCTCCAGGAAACAATTTCTTTATTGATCCAAGAATTCTTTACTCTAAGGGTCAAAGTAGAATTGGAAGAATAAAAGATGGAGGAAACAGGCATCAAAAGATTAAGGAGTTCTACCTGGGCAGAGAATAGAAAACAGGGACCAGCCTGAGCAAAGGAACATGTACCATCTTGCCTCTTAGGATCCTTCCCAGTGTGTTCATGCATTGGAAGAATATACATATAGATTATGAACAGCTGTTACATCTCTAGGAAGTGGAATGCATAAGTATGTGCATATCCATTCCTTTAAATTTTCAGGAAATTACTTTTGTAATTTAAATTACTCTACTGAGGGGCGCCTGGGTGGTTCAGTTGGTTGAACGTCTGCCTTCAGCTCAGGTCATGATCCCAGCGTCCTGGGATCTCCCTCCTGCTTCTCCCTCTCCCTCTGCCTTGCTGCTCCCCCTGCTTGTGCTCTCTCTCTGTCAAATAAATAAATACAAGATTAAAAAAAATAAAATTAAATAAAATTAAGTAAATAAATAACTCTACTGAGTGCTCTCAAAGCCTAAGTTTAGAAATATGAACTAATACAGCTTTTCTGGAGGACAGTTTCACAAGAGCAACCAAAAGCCTTAAAATTTTTTACATTCGGGCACCTGGGTGGCTCAGTTGGTTAAGCGACTGCCTTCGGCTCAGGTCATGATCCTGGAGTCC